TATTTAAAATAAAAACATAGCTCACTCTTCCCTTCACCTGTTCCCAGAACTGACATAAAAGTTAGGTGGGTCCCACTGAAGTAATAAAAGCCCCCTAAGTATAGTCAGCTTTACAGTCCTACATAACACTGTCTTTTCTAGACTTAAAATATAAGTTTTCTACCAGAGCCATAAATAAAAACTACCATCTGCAAATAGAAGTGGTTTTCCCCTAGCTACCAACTTAATATTAATCCAAAGGTATTTGAAATTGACCTTTGACAGTTACTCTTAAAAGACTATATAAACATTAGTTGAAATTTGGGAAGTGATAAAAAAAAAAAAAAAAAAAAGGAGTAGAGGGAAATCCAGGAAAGCTGTGCTCAAAACAAGTCAGTTTTTCTGCCACCTGCCACATACAACTATGTTTTATGAAGCTTACCCACACAAATGGAAATTTTGAAGTTACTCACCAACTTTCAAAAATAGAATACAGATGCAAAAGTAGTCATTAGTATTTATTTTAAGCAGCTTCAGATTGTTTTACAAACATTAAAATCTCAAAATGTTAGCTACAGGACACCAGCAAGCTTTGTTTTAAATAGACTACACATGCTTTCCAGTTTTGTTCTTTCCCACTCTCCTTCAGTGAGCCCGGTCACATGTGATGGCCCACGCTTATTCAAGTAACTTCACCAGCTATATTTTTATTAACAGAAGGAGAGCAGGACAGATGTTTTCTTTGATGCCCCCAACCCTATAAACACTTACGCACAGGTTTAACAGCATTTGCGCTTTTATGTTTTCTTTTAAGGACCTTACAGTTTTCCATTTTCTTTATATTGGACTGTTCACATGTGTGAAGTACACACTTGAAGTGTTAAAAGAGTCAGGGGCCCAGTTCACTACTATATTTTTTTTTGGTAAGAAAAAATATATTTAAAAGGCAAAATACCTCTAAAAATGCCACTATTTCTAAAAAGACTTTGTCATATAAATGCTAACACAAGCTTGAAGTTTAATTTTAAAGAGCCATTAGCATCTCCCCATCCTGCTTATCCTTCTTTTGCAAAAGAATGGACATAATGAGTTACGCAATGTTCTTCTTTTTAAACCAATCTGAATTTGTACCTGCTGAATTTTATCCTTTGCTTCCTGAGTGTCAAGTGAAGCTTCCTCCCTGATGCAAGTAGTTACCGTATTATCAGCATGAAAAAAACGCAGCACTTGGGTTTGTAAGGCAGGAGGTCCTCAAGAAAAAAAGGCTGCAAATCTCAGAAACCAGAGAAATATTGAAGTCACAAACCCTTAGAGATAGTTCTAACAGGTCTGCTATCATACTGCAGAAAGTAGGGCATCCACACTTTTCAAAAGAAAGTAACGTAAAAGCAGGTTGCCAGGTAGCTCATATGCTGCCAGTAGCCCCTCTTGCTGGCAGCGCTTTCTGAAATAGCAGAGCCTTTGTAAAATCAAGTACTGCCTTCCTCCAGCTGAATCAATGAGGAAAAACATTTCAAAAGGTTTTTTTGCTGCCTAATACCTCCCACTACAGAACTACTACCAACACTTTGTGGGGAAAAAGCAGTTGTTTTTTCCTTATGCAGTACTTTGAAATAAATTATCTGTCCCCTAAAAAGAGATATAGCAGCATGCGTAACGGGAACTGGCAGTGTCGAACCCCTTTACAGGAGCACTATGCTTTTTGTCCATTCTGGCTCATTTGAAAATAAAATTTCCTCCTGGACCTAGCCACTAAATTAAGACATGATGCTGATACACTTTTGCTATAAATGTGAAAAAAAAAAAAAACCTAGACTGTAACTCACGATGTCCACCTTTTTAAGAAAAGGCAAGTACACTTACTGTTTAAAAGCAGGTCATGTTAAATTTTAAATATGTAGGTGAGATTAGATTTGCTGGTATTCCATTACGGTTGGGGTGGGAACAGAAGAAGAAAGCCCCCCCAACTTAACAGTCAAAGAACATAACTTACCTTTTCCTTGACAAATGAGAGGCATTAAGATGAGTTTTAAAAACATTTAAATCTCATCATAATGCTAAAAATTTGATAGCAAAAGGCAATTCTTATTAGCCAGCTTAGTTTTGTTTTTTTTTTTTAAACACTAAATTATCTGCAGCTAAATACTAAAAGCAAACAGACAGAAACTTTCAATTAAAAAGAAAAAAAAGAAGAAAATATCCCTCTGATACATAAAGTAACAAAACCAACTGCCTCAAAAGTTCCACTGCAATGGAAAAGAGAACATAAGCTAATTTTCTATTTCATGTTTGAAACGATAAAAGCACAGTAGAAATGTAAATTAACGAAACATTCTCACATACCCCCACGCGTTCTAAACCCAAGCAAATTCCAATCACTCCTAATGCTCGAAAGGTTACAGCCAGCTTCTCAGTGGAGACACAACTTCAGGGAAGCTGAAACCAACAGTTCAAGTTAGAATTTCACAGAATAATTACTATTACAATCCTGAACAAGATCTTTCAGAACTGTGCGTCTGAAGATGAATATGAACTTAGAGCACCTAAAAATGATCTGGTTCTTGATGTTTCAAGTGTCAATACTCACCAATAACTTTAGCGGCAGTTGCTTAGCACACAGAACTTCAGAAGGTTCTTAAATGCAGACTCAAAAACGTAACTTGAGACACCCCCATCCTTACCATTATTTTTAATAAAGTCTTGGCCATGGCTCTTTACTACACTTGAATCATGGAAGACCAGATATCCAGAACCACATCCATTCCCCAGACTGTCCCTAGATAAAAGTGAAGTACTCCGTACTATATGTAAATGCCCACAAAAGCCTACTCAAGCAGGATTAGTTTTTGCTGCCCCATATACTTATTGAGAAGTGAGCTGGTGACAAAAAGAATAAAAACAGTAAAAACCTTTGTTTTCTTCTTGTGCCCCAATATTCCATTAACTATGTACAGCAGAACCTTTTGCACACAGCCAGCACCTACTGGAGTCAGTTTATCTCTCCATCCATGCAGGGTAATGTACACACAAGTCTCACAGTGAAACTGAGGTTTTAGTGTAAGCCATGCTGGCTTTAATTTAAGCTATTAAGAAAGCAAATCAGATTTCTCATTCAGTAAACTGAATTTTGATTAAAAAAAGACCTAAATTTAACCACAAACTAGTCTGCATCAGAAAGCTCAATATCAATATTTGGTCCAGTCACTACTGGTGTAAGTAACTTATCACTACAGCTATGATGGCATACATTCTCTCTTTCTGTTAAAACATATGGAAAGAAAATACTCTATCAATAAATCATATCTAATTAAAAAAAAAAAAAAGTCTGCTGACTTGCCATATAGGTCCAAATCCTCACATCTCAACCCAGAACATAATTACTAAAAAAATATTAAAATACACAAGTATGAGGAGTTTTACACGTTGTTTTAACTTCTATCAATTATTTCAAATGTAGTTTAGGCAAGTAGGTGTTATTTTTAACATAGGAAATTTAGGGTGATTTTGGTCCCTTTGTAAGTGCATTCTTTTGAACTCCCTGAGTACTGTACATTCCTTTTCTACAGTGATTTCTGACTGGAAGATGAATAGAGTGGGTTTGCATTGCTGCATATATAGTAAAGTCTGTTGCTTAAAGCAAAACAGCAGCATAAGATTTTACAAAATATGCAGGTGCATGTTTCAGCATTTTGCCCCTACACATCTGAACTAAGTATGAGCCTTCAACTTCTCTCCTTAGATTCTAGAAGTGGCTAATTTCACATCATTAAAGATAACCAGAATGTAATTACTGTTATTATTTATGTCTTGGCAGATAATTCTTACCAATCTACTGTCAGTAATACCTGCAAGTTAACACAATGGAGTTATTCAAAGCCCTCTTGGACCACACATCTCGATTCAGGCACTCCGAGGTCAGTAGCTATAGTTGTGTAGGCTTTTTTGTAAAAGAAAGATAAATGGTACTAAACACCCAACCACCTAACTCCACATTTTCAAAACACAGTAGTTTATAGCAGTTGATAATTAAAATAATAATAATAAAAAAAGATTATACCACTTCAACATGAGTACAAGCAAAGTACTGAGAATAAACTGTAGTATATCCAGTTCCGAAAATAACTGTGGGTCGAAGCAGTGCTGAGCATTTGCTTATTGACATTTTCCATTTTCATAAAACTGGGCAGCACATTCAAACATAAAAGAAACTCAGGTAAGATGTGTTTACGTTTTAAAAAATAATTTATAAAATAACAAATTATCAACAGTTCATTATGTAGCATCGATATAAAGAGTTTAAAGTTACTGAATCAATCAGTATATACTAAAGATAAGATACTTCGAAACCAAACGAGGCCTCCAGTTACTTAAGAAATTATTTAGCTCATTAAAGGATAGTACTATACCTTGAATTCAACAGATATGGCTGAATCTTGCACTAGTTAAAATATAATATTGTAACTGCACATAAAAGGATGTATTTATAGATAGTTTTTACAGTGTATGCATGTGTATGTATATATTTTTTTACTCACCAACAAACACAATGCAGACAACAGAAGGCAGCATAGAAAGTGTTTTGAATATAAAAATGTTTTGTTTTCAATTTCGTAGAAAATGTTCAATTTGCATTTTGGCAGACTTACTGGTACTACTATACAAAACCAGGAAAAAGGTCATGCAAAGGGGTTAAGATTATTCTTCAATGTATATAAAGGAAAACAAAAACACCTAGTAGATTTGAGAATACTTTGCAATTAATGGGAAAAGCATCCAAAAGACAACATAAAATACAGAAATGGTTTAGTTTTGTTATTTTATACCTGGTTGTACCCTAGTACAGATGATGAGTTTTATTTTGATGCTCAATAAAAACCGAAAATAAAGTCTTTCTTCCTTCCACAAATATTTTGTTAAACTCAACTGATTTCAGAAGCATAGTGGTATAATGACCATTAAAAAAAAAAAAAAAAAAAGAAAAAAGAGAAGTATTATGGACATAAAATGTTACCAAAAAAATAAGCACACTCAAAAATATATTTTTCTTTCCCCTACTTACAATTATGTTTGTTAAAAAAAAACAAAGCTTTTACAATATCAGACCAACCATTGGCTTTTCCAATAAACTTGCTAAGTACACTCCCTGTACATCCTATTTCTCTTAAGCATTTAGCAGTTGTTCTTACGCACAAGGAACTACCTCTGAAGGAATTCATCTGGTTTGTATTTTTTGACAAATTAGGTACACCTTTTTGTATTTCATTGGGTTGTTCATTCTGTTTTAGCTGCAACGTCTAACATGCTCCAAAACATATTCAGGGAAGTGCAAGCTGCAGACTTGTAAGCCATCCAGCTTGCATGGCATCCTTGGATATTCATCTTCTTTCCATTTGTTTTCCTCTGGATCAAAGGTGAGAATCGAATCACTGTAATGGCCATTGTAACAAAGGCCTCCAAGAACCATTATCTGTTTGTCCAGAACAGCTACACCATGACCACTCCTACCAATTGGCATAGAAGCCAATATAGTCCATTGATCCGTATCTGGGTCATAAACCTCTGTAGAAGGACATCCTTGGGATTCAAAGGAGGCCCTCAGGATCACACAGACACCACCAAAGACATAAAGCTTACCATTATAAGAAATCATTTTGTGAAAGCATCTTGCATAATTCATTTTGCATTTGTTCTCCCAACAGTTAGTGACCACTTGAGTTCTCCTTGTTCGCTGCTCTACTGTCCCTTCTTTACTGGGATCAAACACACATACTTGCTTAGAAGTTGAAGATGATGTAATTCCACCAGTGATATACAACTTGTTACCAAGCACAGTCCCTTCATGTCCGTATTTATTGACTGGATAGGGATCCACAAATTCCCATTTATCTTCAGTAATATCATACCGTTCAGTTGAGTAAAACGTTTCATCCCTGGTTCTCCCAGCCACTGCATAAACATACCTCCCAATAACTCCAACAGCAAACTCAGAACGTGGAACAGACATGTCTGCCATTCGTAACCAAGTGTTCTGTCTTGGGTCATATCTAAACACTTTGGATGAAGCATGAAACTCACCATCTGGCCCCAGTTCTTCCCCACCTAACAGGAACACAAAGTTATTCACAATGGCAAGGCAGTCTGGTCGTAAAGGTACTTGAGGACCCTCTAGTTCCCACCAGACCCTTGGTTTGTGCAAGAGAAGAATTTTACTGTTTACCATACTGTGTCCTATCATTCCTCTAAATACTGCAGTCTGGGGTTTGGCAGAACGAATTTTGTTCGATTTCATTTCCATCAAAGGCTGTTGGTGAACGCTATGAAAGTAATTCATGGCTTGGTCAACCTCATGTCGCAGCTGCCGGGAGTATCGATAAAACTCTGATGTTTTTACCTATGAATACATTTAAAAGATATTAAAATTCTGACCAAGAGGAAACAATCCAGAAAACCTAAATGACTATGTGTCATTAGAAGATTATTTTACTTAGTTTCATTCAGGCAATCTTGACAGTAATTGCATTTGTGCATGGAGGCTTAAGCTAACACACTGTTATCCAAAATCGAGAAGGCAATTTAGTGATTAACAGCAGTGACTAACATTTTCAGCAGAATACAGAATTTAAGCTGGAATTAGGCACAACTGAAATCCCCAAGTCTAAAAATCATTATTGTTTCTCCCCCAAAAAGCCTCTGTCCATCTTCTGCTTAATCAGTGAGGCACCTAAATTAAAAATGCATTATTTTCCTGGTTTTGAAAAATATTCTACAAGCTCATTCTGTGTTTACCAAGGTCTACTCTAGTCTAATTTCTGGTGAATTCTCACAACCAAGCCCAATCAGGTATTCCCAAATGCTAGAATCCGGTCACAGGGCTATTTAATTGGGGTGGGGTGAGAAGGGAAGGTACCCAAACCCCTTCCTTCAGAACACGTGATTGCACTAACCACTCAGCATGATGGTTACCTTATGGTTTCCCCTCTGTGAGCCTCCACATGTTAACAAATGCCTTTAACACAAGAGGAAAACATCTCAACCTACAATCCTTTGGTTGTGCAGTTATGTGGTAAAAAACTCCACTTCCCAGGCGAGAGTTACAATCTTTGAATTACCACATAACAGTGAAGTGCTTCTTTTCTGTGCCTTTTCAATTTGAAAACAGCTATCCCTGCTCAGTTTTATTGGAGTTGGGGGTGGGGGCAAGATTGTAAGAATTACCTTTCCAGGACCCTTCCTGCCATCTAAGCCAATTTAAGTTCCTGAGACAATTCCAAAACACATCCCTGTCTTGAACATTTTAACTAATCTAGCTCCAGGCAGCCCTCAGGTCACCCTGTGATTCTCTTCAAGGAGGCTTAACTCTTCCTGTACAATCTGGTCTAACACAGCATTCTGATTTACACTTCTGAAACAAATAAAACCCCACTAGATATTGCCAAATCCACAAATCCTCTATCATATTTGATCCTAAGTTCCCAGTTTCTTTCACATAAAACTGGATTGCTTTCAAACATCTCACATGCCTTTAGTTCTCACTAGCTCCAAAAAGAGAAGCAATGCTCTGAAAAAATGTGAGGCCACTCTGAAATTTAAGCGACCACAAGATAACACCAGAAGCTACTATTTTTCAGTATCTGTTCCCCCACCTCCTCCTATTCCCTGTCCCAAGTGACAAAAGCCCATACCACCACTTACCTAAGAGCTGGTGGTATGAGTTTTCATGTATATGAAAAGCAATTTGGAAACTAATGTTCTTTATACCTTGTGAATCAGGTAGTTGCTTGTTCCATAAACACACACTATTCAAATTTTGTTAGCTTTCTGTCAATAATTTCTCTTCCATCTATAGTAATTAAAGACATTCTGCTGTCAGATAAACATTTTTTTAAAAAATCTTTTGAACTGTTATTATTGGACATGATTTACATGCATTTTGAGATTGTTTTACATACCAGATTTTTCAAAAAACACTGAATACTAACCTACCATTGCAAAGCACTGTATAGCTCAAGGGTTATAGTGATTTGATGTTTTTATTTACACTTTTTCTTCCCCTCACTTTATTTTGACAAGTTCAACTTATCTTAGCTTGGAAGAAGAGGATGGACACAAGCAGATTGTATATATGATTCTCAGGGCAATATCCAACTTCTTTCTACCGTTTTTACGAGGGGTGATTATGGAACAAAAAGATTTACTTATGTATAGTGCTTATAAAACACCCGGAGTGAGCCCAACTCTTCTGGGGAATAACAGATCTATTTTCTTATTGCAAATAAAGAATATATCATATAAACACAGGAGATCTGCTCATATGGCATTTGTTAAAATAAACCATATACCTCGCCTGACTGAAAAGACTGAACATAAATTCCAGAAAATATGCTGGGGGAGGGGTGGCAGGGAGAACCACAGCACAGAAAAACGGTAAAATATAGAAAGCCTTAAAGGTTACAAAAAACAAAACAGGAAATTAAAATCACAAAGAATTGTGGGTGAGTTACTTTATCCTTAAAAGTAACTTTCAAATTCTAAAACAGCACAACTATTTTGGAATGTGTGCATTCCCAAACTGCAGCTGTAATTTTTGGAATTAACCAAAAAGACAAGCGATTTTTGTTCCACCTACATGCATTTCAAGTTTTCTTGGATGATTATGGAAGACAACAGGATCAACATGCAACGTGAAGCATGCCAGCAAAACCTGGCAGAGATGGAAAATGTTGGGGTTTTTTTCTTTCCCCCTCAACATTTACAACTCTGTCTTTAGATCTAGAAATTGAAATGTCAGCCAGAAACTGGAATTAAAATAAGCCTCATATATCCTTACCACTCTACTCCTTCACAAAGCCTAAATCTCATCCCATGAGAGCATGCAAAAGGAAACAAGGAATATCTCTAATTCCAGAAACAAAATCTCAAGACCAGGGAATCAATGTATTAGTAGTTTACTACTACTTATCTTGACAAAGGCACTAACATCAAAGCAAAACCTCAATCTCTTACCTTAAACCAGAAAGACATCAAGAAGCAAATGCAACTACCAGTTATCAACAACTCTTTCAGACTGAAGTTCATGGGGAAGCTATCTACAAGCACAATATTGAAGAGATGAACATGAAAATAAGTAAGAACTAGCAATTCTTACAATATTCAAAAAAAACCCCACAAAACAAAACAGAGCAATGGTCTGTCTAAATTCTGGTAAGCAAAGGTAGTTGGAAGCTTCCTAGACTTTGCTGTTGAGGAAAAATGTTAGTGTCTCTAGCCTTCCACCTTTCACCAGCACAACCTCTGCCATACAGGAGTGGTACCTCTCCTGAGGCTCAAATGATGGTCTAAGATGAATGTTAGGATATGCCTATATGAAAGTACAGACTGCTCACACTTGCTCGATGCAAATGAAAACAAAGCAAATATAGGTCAGTTTGCCCACTTTCACATTCATACACTGTCTGCATGAAATCTTCCAGAATTATTTGAAAGTCCTATTCAGCTCATAGTAAGGAAAACCCTCCAAACACCTACACTTCTGAATAATTTTACAAAACTTTTAGTTACTTATGTGTATAATCAAAAAAGAGAAGCATTAAAATTCAGGTGTTTAGGTATTAAAACACAACTGTAAGTTGTGCATATGTTTTATTTTTAGCAGATTAAAGAACATGGCCTTCAGCAAGCCTTTTGTGGGAATTGCTGTCTGACACGCAAAATACGCTGAAGGAAATCCCTCAGCATTCAGAAGTATGCTCCTGCCATTACCTTTAAGTAGCAACAAGCAGTTGATCAACAAATATCTAAGTGCTTACCAACAGACTGATTTTCCTGTTTAAGTTCAAATGGAGAAGCTCTAGAAGGAACATGCCCCTAATTACCAACATACTCAATTAGAGAGAATGCTCACAAGTTTCTGCAAAACATCCAAACCAGATGGAAACGTACACTAACTGTGATGAACCTTGAAGTAAACCAAATGTGCATTCTTAAGAGTACATCATCAACTCTGAACTGGTAAGAAAAATACAAATGCTTCACAGCATTTTCAAAGTAAAAAGACTATTCTGTTATCTTGCTGAAGTGTCTCAAAGTGGAAGTTGGAATTCCTTACCAACGCCAGTTTTACTGTAAAAAAGGAATTTAATCCAAGTGCTAAAGCTTTGCTCATGTGATTTTTTACATTGGTTCTGCAGGGACGTAGTGCTAGCGTAAGAGCTCCCTGAAGAACTCTTAATGAGAACTACCTCATTGCATCATCTACCAGTCACAGTGGTTCACAGTTGGACTTTTAGCTACACAGACAGGGAACAGCATAAACAAAAATCAAACGTGTCACTCCATAAAAAAAGAAGAGTAAGAAAATAATTAAAAACATCCACCTCTCTATTGAACCCCTAGGTAGTCAATACCAAAAGCATCAAGACTTCACCAAAATCACTGCCGTCCCTCCAGCCATAGTAAAGTGGAGCTTGAATGCATTTTCTCTTTTTCATTCTGAACCAGTGAAACACTCAGTAAAAACTGCTGGCATTCCAAATTAATGCAGCTATTAATCATTGCCTATTTTTCTGCTCTATTGCAATGCATGCTTTTCTAGTTGCAGCAGCTATGCAAGTTTCAGAATTTTCCATCTATATTCTATGAAAAAGCCAAAAATGTAAGCCATTAGTTTCTAATCTGAAAAGTGATCCACACAAAAGACCAGATGTATCCCTTGTTAAGCTTATCATCTTCCCCCCTGCCTTAAAACAATTAAGCAAATTAATAAGCTGCAGGAAGAGCAATGAAATGCAAGGTAAATGTTCTGTAACACAAATTTGACTTCAGTATAGAGCTTTTTTTTTTTCCCCATATTGCTCTATTTGTATTTTTGTTACTTGGGCTTTTAGGAGAAAACTTTCAAAACCATAAAGAAAGGCTACTTTTGAAGTGCCCAAACTAAACATACATTATTTGTACACCTGGTAACTAAATCTTAACATGTTATTATACGGGGTAGATATTAGCTTGATTCCTTCTGTAGAACTAGTAAAAAAAACACAGAAAAATCTGGATGGCTCATAACATGACTCTATCATGTCTAGCCACATAAGCAGAGAACTATTTCAAATGTTATAAAATTGTGCTTACTTAAGTTTTCTAAACCTGCCAATTCTGAATGTGTGATACAACTCAAACTCAACTAATAGGAATACAGAAGCTATGCTACACCTTTTCAATGAATAATGATGGCATCCGTACCAGACTTCTAGAGAGCAATTCCTTCCTTTTACTTGCAAAAAGAATTGTTATTTTCCTAGAGATTAAGCTGAATCAAAACTAAAGATCCATCAATTCTACTAACTAGGATCCTTACTATTTTCACATCTACTTATCTCTGGGCATATTCTAAGCACAATTATAAGACTGTCAACAAACATTTTGATAATGTTAACACGCTTACTCCAAATCCAAATTCAGTCAAATAGAACAAGTCACACATATGTCTCTCAAACAGCAGCAGCCACAATTACTCTGCAACCAAACATCAGTATACATAGCATTGCACAAGCTGCTGTACTTAACTTTTTCCCTTCTTCTAGCATTGATCATTACTTAGTTACATCCCACGGCCAGTATGAAAACTAGTCAGTACCAGTATAGGGCTTTGAAGGGCTATTCTGCAAGTGCTACAAATCACTTAACATTTTTCAGCCTAACCATAGAAAGACAAGATGACATAGCCTCTGTGCAGCAAGGACAATGCCCTCAAATTGAGTATTTTGCTGTTCCTTTTTAGAAACTAGCAAGAGAAATTATCACAATCAAGCTGGAATCTAACTCAAATCTAAACTCTCAAATCAGACTGGAGCCAACAATCTATGTGCCAGATTAGAGGTGCTCAGCACTTAATAAATACTGCTAGAAAATCTATCCAAGTCAGCAATAACCTTTAGACATAAAAATATCAAGTGCAGCACCTATTTAAGATAAGAGGGACCCACTAACCTCATCCACTAGACACTTCTTATTCTAAGCTTCAGCGTACGAAGTTGCAGAAGTAGATATATGTGAATTACTAGACATAGAGGGAAATGAGAAAAAAAAAGACAAGTTCAACACATTTATCAAAGGTAAAGTCACAATGACATAAAATTACAATGACTTCTCAAATGTTACCATTTTCTAGGCACAGGAAAGCACATACTCAGAGATAATGTGCTATTCATCCTACCTCTACAGCATAAGCTGATGGTCCTAGTGATGAGTAAGTTTCCGATTTAAGCTGGGAATTTATAAATCAGCATGGGCTAGTCATAACAAACCAGACTGGGCATCAAAAAACCCCTTTTGATTTTAAGGACAGAGGTTTTGACAACATTTCAGTCTGAGTAGTACACAGAAACTAAATGGAGCTTAAACAGTATATGAAGGGAAATCATGACATGGTTGCCTCCAGTAACACAGAGATGAACCCAATGATCCAGGAGAAATGCCCTCTAACTTTTATCTCCAACCTTCCTCAAGACTTACAGAGCCATGGATATGTTTCAGATAAAGGAAAGTGTAACATGGTAGTGGAACTTGTGCTTCTCCCCACACACTTTGCCTTTATTTTCTAACTGTTCCCCAAATCCTTACTTCATTTATCTTTCCATTTTCCCTCATACATGTACATCTATTTTAAGGGCTGAGGAACAGAAGGAGCATCTATCCATACTTCAGAAGCAGTTCTTCCAGGACAGCATAGAGTAATCAATCAAACAGGTTGCACCTTCACTTGTGCACTCCAAATGCACATCAGCCTCAAGGTATAAATCTAGAGTCACTCATAATTTCATTTTTAAAAGGACAAGCCATCCCACTCAGATTGCTAATCTCTTCAAAATAATGATGCAAGAAATAGAATGGCTTAAGAGGCCAAAACCATCCTTACTGTGACTTGCAAAGTTAAGTTATAGAAGTTACTTATATACTACAATGACAGGCATCTTAGAAAAGTGTATTAGAAAGATTATGTAAGAGTACATATGACAAGCCAGCCACTGTATAGCAAATACAGAGTTAGCTGAACCGTAAGACTCAACCTCAGATTGTATTTGGTACATTCACACAGGCGTTTAGTATGTGCTGGCTTCAGGAAAAGGGTGAATTCTGTTTGTGGATCTAAAAAAAAAAAAAAAAAAAAAAAGGCAGTTTTACCAATATTCTCCCCCTTCTAGGCACAGAAGAGAGTTCTCCTCAGGTTACTTCCAATACAGTCAACATACATGCTCTTATACTTAAAAAAAAAAAAGTGTGGTCTATATTTTGATGTTAGCTCCAACTGCATTTGCTCTTTGTCACTTGTCATGCTGGATTACTCAACGCTCCCTAGCCAGGGCAAAACACAAATACACTCCTAGCTGCAGCAACAGATGACATACTTATTTAGCTGTGCTTCCCTCTGCTGAGCTGTCCCACTCCAGAATCTGCGCTGGCTTCTCTCTGTTCCTGCATACAATTAATAGAAAGGGTATTCACAGATAAAGCTTTTACATGTGGGTATATAAACTGGGATGCTGAAAATGACTCCTCTCCTTAAGTGGTACCTATCTGGCCATTTGGTAGCCGTCATAAAACATGACAAGCACTGTATGCAGGATTTATACCACTGATACCAAAACCAGCTCCAGAAGTTAGACCTAAATATAATGCTGAAGACCAACATATACTTTTCACTTGCACTTACAGAAATTTAACTGGAGACAGCTTGATGCTTGAACTTGCATCCCAAAAACTCAAAGAGCTGAAGCAGACTTTTTCAGACAAGTCTAACCTATTAGACTGACCTTAAGAATACTCTGCAAATCCTATCAGTTTTCCTACCGAAGGGCTTAAATGACATAATAATAAGGTAAAAGTATTATTAAAAACAAGACACTACACAGTATCTGGCAGAGTTCAGCTCTTACTAGTTGAAAATGTTTTAACCCAATATAAACATTACATTACTGTTCTAAAATATGTTTAGGTATTTATTTTGTTTATGTCTATAGGCTAATATAGGATCATAAATACATTTTATGTACTATTACTTCCTCTACTCAATTCACACACACAAAAACAATCCAAAATATAAAAACTCACTAGTCTCTGAAGTAATTAATAGCTTTTATAATTTAAAATACAAATAAGTGTAAATATTACTGCTTAAATGATCCAGTAGCCCTTAAAACCACCAAGAACAAGACAACCTTATCTGTATATTCACTAGATACCAAATTAATTTGTAAATTAATTTGTAAGAATCCCAACAAAAACACAGGGTGTTAAATCCTATTAATTCACTGAGAGGTGGAAAATACACAAGTTAAAGTTATATCTTATCATACAAAATTAACATTGTTAAAAGAAATCAGCACAGTTTATGTAATTCCTAACCTGAATACCCTTACTGTTACTAGCTTGCGAGAGAGCTGCTTACAAAGTTTTGTAATTCTCTACTGTTGACAAATACTTAAGAAATTCTCAGGAATTGGAAAACGACATCTTTTGTCTATTCTTCAATGAAACAGTAGAAAAAGCAAGTTCTCTTTCAACCTCTTAATACATGCAATGATCAGGTGAATTTTAGATCGACAAAGATTCCTCTGATATTTGAAGTAAATCATTACATTTCACATCCTCAATAACTTTGGTTGCATTATGTGCCTTGTGTAGAGCCAAATGTATGTGTAACTTTGCAGGATCAGTGCTTACTTCCAACCGCTGTGTAACAGCACAAGCGCTGAAGATATGACAACAACAAAAACACCCTGCAGATTTAACAGCAGGTACTGGTTTTCATTTGTAAATAAAAAATTCTGCACTTAAAACACGTAAAATCTACAGTCACTATGTTTTGATTACACTGATAACAATTATCATGACATATGCCCTACATACTGTATGCAGCTCTAAAATCTCTGGAAAGCAAGAAGCAACTTGTGGAAAACAGTAAGAACAATTGAAATAAAACTTGATACAAGTGACCTTGTTTTAAAATGTCCTTTCCATATGAGGTCACTTAAAAACATGTATTGTAAACCTACCTGTTCTCCAGCCACTGTACATACTATTGTCTAATAATCAGATGACAATACTCTTGGATCTTTGTCTTCCACAGGTTTATTAGAAAAATAAATGCTATCTTTTTGTTCCTCCTAATAGGTTTGGGAATCTTACCTATTTAATGGCATGCTGCCCTAGCTAAATGATGAATCCTGTCTATTGTTTTTCAAATGCACCAACCTTCTCAAAAACACTGGATGGTGTCATCAAACAAAACCTGATGTTCTGAATAATGGTGTCCGTATGCCTCCAGCGTCTTCTGTCATGGCGCAGCCAGGCCTGAACAGCTTCATACAGCTCTATCTCTGGAAACCTGCTCAGATGATCATTATCCAAGTAAGACATGAGCTTCTCAAAGCTCAGATATGAAAGGAAGTCAGGTCTGGACATGAGTGGCACAAAATTCTCTAGCAGAAAGGAGTCCAATTTTTCCCTGACTCCTTCGATGTTTACACCAAAATCATCCAGAAGTCTCATAATTTCTGCACAGTTTTCTAAGCAGATTTTAGCTAAGAGGAAAGAGCAGCAAAATTTTACCACCTCTATAAGCTGGACATACATGGCAGCCTGAAGGATTTCATGAACAGTGTTCATACTCAGTTCAATAGTTCCATAGTACATGAATTGGAGGACATGACTGAAGCCTGTAGCTGTCAGACCCTTCAAATGGATTTTGTCCTGATCTCGTTCTCGCATATCAGCTGTGAACATAATCCTGAAGTAATCACTCTGCGTGGCAAGCAGTGCTTTATGGGCCTGAAATTGGTGGTCTTCAATGACAAGTGTGACATCAAGAAGCAATCCCTCCTCATACAGTGCTCTGAATCCAGCAGAGACACTGGTGTCATGGATGGAGGAGCTAAACCCTTCCACGTCCCCTGCCATGAATCACCTGGGGGAAAGAAAAAATAAATAAATAAAAATAAATTGTTATTTCTAATAACATATCACAAGCCCTTCCTGATAAATCCTAACTGAGAATGCTTTTATTAAGACTTAAAAGTCTTCACCATCCTTTTTGTTTTCTCTTCAGCTGAAAAATCAACTTAAGAAACAACTTAATACACAAACTTTAAATATTTCTCACCCCCAGAAGACCCTCATTTTAAAGAAAGAGTAACAAACAAGAATAACTATGCAATACTGCTGAAGCAATTCCTCACTCCAAGCTATTTAGTGGTCAGATAATGAATATGCAATACTAAAATGCTCGTTGTGGTTTTCTCCCCCTGCCCCCCCTCAATCTTTCTAAAGAATTTATCTCAGGGGAGCAATAAAACACCCACTCTTGAATATCAAAGGTTTCAGAAAGGAAGCCAAACTTCCTTAACTTCAGAAACAAGCTCCAGTTGATCTGTACAAGGTATAACCTAAAAAAATTTTAGTCTCTTTACAAATATATGTCAATTTACTCAAAAGTTATTTCTAGGAAATTGAACATTTTCAGAGATACTATTTAAGTTTGTGTGTTTCACTTCTCCTGTAACAACATAGTAGTTCCCCCTTCATCTCCCTCCCTTTATCCCCCCGTTTCTTACCATAGGGATTAATTAGGTGATGTGATTTATAAACTGCAAAATACTAAGGCAATAGGAAGCACTGACAAGACTAGGTCACAATAAATAATATTCTGTATACTGGGTTTAGTGAAGTTTAATTGCTTATTAAGCGTTTGAACACTTGCAGATGCAGTGTTACTTACGTGCAAGCTATAGTCGAACTGTAAATAAGCCAAAAAGAAATTATAGACTAGCAGGATCCTACTCTGTTAAAGTTAAGGAAGATAAATATTCAATGAAAATCCATACCAAAACCTATTCAAAATCCAGAAATTTCTCAAAATCTTGCTCAACTTCCTTGGGTTTAGATAGGGTGAAGTTGCACAAGGCAGCTTGAACCAATCTAACAATTTATCACCAGTTGAAGGGCAATGGCACACTCCATTCTCCCTCTCTGTCCTTATTCTGAGTTCTGAGCTCCTGCTGCCTACTTTGAGCCATTTCTGGTGCTCACTGGACTGCTCTAGAAAGCTAATTCAACTCATAAACCTGACAGAAAACTAAACGAAGGGTGGGGGCAGCAACAAGGACACAAACAACACCACCCCCCAGCACATGCAAAACCTCAAAACCAGAGAGCCTTCTGCTCATCAGTGAGCTGACTTCTGACTTGACACTGCAGGGGGTATGGCACAAGAACCAACCTGATGAAAAGGGCAGGACATCACACTTGAGCAGGAACAGGGAAAAAGAGTAACGTTGTCCCTTTAGGCATTAATCAGCTACAGGAGTTGGTTCAACCATTTTTGTTTCACTTTATCCCACCCTAAATAACACTGCAGCATTCACATGGTTATTTGTGCATTTAACACCAAATTTCCTATAACAATTAAAGTTAATAATGTTTTGGTACTGGTGACCTACATGAAAAGCTAAATAACACCAACACATTTAAAAAACTGCTGATTTTCAAGGTTATAGAACTTTACAGCAGTATACGGACCCAGAAGTGACTCTAGGTTGGCCCAGGTTTCACAACTTCAGGGAGCAGTTATCATATTACTCCCATTTCCTCAAGCACCACATCCTGACTGCTGCCACTGTAACTGGAATGTATTTTATTAGACTCCATCAAGAGATAATCATCTCCTCTCCTTAATTCATCGGCACACATCCTGGAAAACAGAACTGGAGAGACGCTTCATCTATGCAAAACTAAAATGGTGAGTGGGGGTTTGTAGCCACACCTCATGGAATGAGCACCACTCCCACACCGTTGAAGCCTGCTGACAGGTTCTGTGCACAATAGAGTCAATGCCGGGAGTGTTCATGACAGTTAAGGCCTTATGAAAAAATCCAAATTCCTGAAAGTAAGACCAACAGCAGGAGAACAATGCTGACAATCCAATGGCTTTCTTGCCAGTACCCGTGATAGCACACTCCCCTTTATGTCACTGAAGACAGAGAGAAAATACAAACTGCTCTGGAGCTTCATATAGCAAGTCCCTTATTCCTGAACACAGCACGTGCCTACCAGAAGGAAAAATTACCATCATATATTATTCTTAGTTGTTGCCAATTCTTACACAAAAGCAGACAAGGAAAGAATTACTTTACTAACTCTTACCACCTCAAAAAGCAGCAACAAACTGAAGAGGATGCCATAAAGCCTGACTTTACAGCATTTTGCTTTCTAACTGGATTTCTGGTATCAAATAAGAAGGTAAACACTAATATTAGCTTTTTTTCTTCTTTCACTAGAGCACTTGTAACTCCCCCCCTCCGGCCCCCAGTTCTCTGATCTTTAATAATAGTTGAGCTCATCCTTCAGTCTTTCCTGTGTAAGAGATTTAATGGTCACTTGCCTTTAAATGGGCCAACCGTTTTCATAAAATATATAGCAACTTGAAACAACTATCTCTCAATTTTGTTTGAAATTGACCAAGAGGTTCAAAGCTTATTAGGATTATTCTCAGATAGTACAACTGTGTAAGTTACATTTCTTTAGGAGACCAACTAAGACATATGGCTCAGCTTCAATTCCAAGATCAACGGAAAAAACAGGACAGGACAGTTGGAATTTGCAAATGTGAGACATGAACAGAGTAACACAACAATATATTGGGGAAAAAAAAGTCAGAAATGAAGCAACACAAATTAACCTGAAAATAACAGGATGTCCCATCACACAGGCTCATGCAGGCAGCAATCTCATGCAAGGGATTTCTTCAGAACAGTACATACATTACTGTGTACATGAACGACACAGAAGAACCATACCAGTAAGCTCCAAATACTACTAGGGTCTTTCTCCTTAACTTGAGAAAGATAATTACATTACAGATCTGCAAATATGAGGGGAGAAATTAACTTTTACATCGGACTGCTTTAAAAGGCCCCTTTCACCACCCTCAAAGAAGCAAAAAGGAGAAGTTGGCAAGTGAAGGTAAACAGACACAAATGGTAGAGGGTAAATGCGCCAAATCCAGACAAGCACCTCCAGCGTGCCTTTTAAGGATCAAAACAAATAAATAATACACAAAACCAGCATCAGAGAGAGTCCTGGGCAACCAGCTCTAGGTGGTCCTGCTGAGCAGGGGCAGTGGACCAGATGACCTCCAGAGGTTCCTTCCAACTTCAGCTACTCTGTGATCAAGTTGCTTTTACATAGAGACTGCACTGTGGGATTTTTTTTTTTTTTTTGCGACCATCCTTTTAATTCTGATTAAGTAGAAATAAGACACACACACAAAAAAACCCCAGATATAAGCTACTACCCTTCAAATTTTAAATTTATCAAAAAATAAGGTGGTAGGAATCACCAAAGTAAATTTTAAAACCCCTGTATTTAGGGAACACCTTTTAGGGTTCCAATTTTCACATCTCGCTAAAACTGGCTATTCCGTAAAAATATATTAAAACCAGAAGTCAGCTGCAAAAGGCTACAATGGTAACAAAGTGGTCAACGCTCTGAAATTATTACTTCAGAAGGTTTTAAAAATGTGGGGGGTTAAGTCACTTAATCCTCCTTTTCACATCCCTGCTTATATTATTTTTAGTAAATCTACAGTTTCAATCTCAAAATATTTTTTCTCCCAAACATCAGACAGCATTTAATGGATTATTTAAGTAGAGACAAAACCAGTAAGACTTCTCCATAACACCATCTAAAGAAGCTTCAGAATTCTATGAGTGAAAAGCTAAAGACTACTTGTGTTCCTCCATTAAATAAAAGGAGTAAATACCGTTTTTTTGGCATAAAGCCATACACAATATCAGCAGATATATTTTGCTTTACAACACAAAAATATATTGGCCAGTGCAAATACACAGGGGGTTAAAACAGCACAGAAACTGGGAAACTAGATAGTTAAACGCGTATTATGATCAACTGGTAAAAATCTTCATTTCTACAGCTAATATCCTCAGTCAAAAGCAAACAGCAATGTGGTAGTTCAAATATTAAAAAAGCAATACAAAATACTCTCAAATGAAGTCATTTTTCTAAAGCATAGCTATGCCATTCCTCCCACACACACACTTGCAATCTTAGATGTAATTCTATGCACTATTCAAATGCTGCAGCTTATTTCCCAGAGGACAATAACATAACGATTTTTTTTCATATTTTCAATAAAAATGCAAAATTCAGAGTGAAATTTTCTTCACACATGCAAATCACAACAGCACACTTAATCCTAAGGAAGACATGTAGCCTACAGTGGTCTGTAAGAAAACAGGAACAAAAAATTCCAATGTATAAACAATAAAGGGGGAAAAAAAATAATCAAAGTTGACGTTCTGCATTGTTCTGCGCATACTAGAGCTGATCAGTATAATGCAGCACAGGACGTAAGAGTCTCTGCTGAAAAGCCAAAAGAGAAATACGCTTAACCTTATTAGCTTTTCCTGACATTTCTTCCTCTTTTAGCACATAATGCATTACAGAGTCTACTCTGCTGTGACTGTAAAAGCACTTACTTGGAACACTGATTTCTCATCTTTATTCCGCAGCTGTAATAAAAGTCTGAAAACCCTGTTCCAGACTGCTTTTTCTTGCTAAACAAGGAGAACCTTCTTTCCTCAGGGTGTCTGAGGCTCTTAGTCACAGGCAGAAGAACTGGAGTCTAAAGGCACAGGCTATTGAGAAGGAAGTTATGGAATACCCGCTTTTGGCTCATGCCCTGCTTCATTAAAAAAAAAAAAAAAAATCTATCCAGGCAGTACTTCCCCAAAAAGTACCCTTTTAAGTAAGTGTGTTTATGTGATATGTAAGCTCATATGCACTTTCTAGGGATAGAAATGTATTGTTCTGGGAAAGTATTGACAATACCAACTGTAGCATACCAGCTGAAAGGCAGGTGTCTGCTTTCCTTTACTGCTGTTCCTTAAC